TTGAATCGTATTTCCGACGACGAAGAGTTAGAATGGCTGGCAAATATAGATCCAAGGTTATAAGATGAATCGAACGAAGAAAAACAGCAAGACCACCAGGAAATTTCTTCATTTATTAAAGAAAATAGAAACAGCAACACGACAACGGGCCAATTCTGTTCCGTTTCGCACACTTCTGTCACGCGAAATTCGCCCGCACTGAACTAATAGTTTGGCGTGTTGGATAATAAATAACTTATTAGACGTTTGCTGTGTAGTATATCGCTGAGTATTTTTACTCAGCGAGTATTTCTACTCAGCCCTACAGGCTCGTCAAAATACGGCACAACTCGTAAAAATACTCAGCGATACTAAATTTAAAACGGCTATGTATATATATAACTGAGGTGATGGGACTGGGAACAAGATTTAGCATAAAAGTTATCAATCAACAATAACACATGAGCAGATTAATAAAGCAACAGCTTTTCACTTCCGACGTCCACGTTGAAAGCTGGCTCAAGTTTCCGAATAAGTAAGATCTCTTTGATTTTACAATGGTAGTCTGTTTTACCCTTCGCTGTTTTAAATTTCAACGGTTACTTTTGAAAATGTACGTTGAGTACATACGAAACGTCAAGTCATAATCAAAATGTGCAAGTTCAATATGTTTATCACCGCTGTTTGTGTCTTATTTTTGATCAAATTACGATGGCCCAACAACAAAAGTATTTACGATTCAGTCTCCAGTTTTAATATTTTTTGATGATTTTTCTCTTTTTTAACTGTATCTACTGAAGTTAGATTCAGGGTGGCTGCTATAGTCGCATGCAACAATGTTGCGTGATGTTGTGCTGAAATTTTGCGTGCGTTTGGCCGGGCCTTAAGCTATAGTCACCATCGTTATTGAACTTAGTTCCATGATTTGAATTCCAAGGTTGTGGTCAGATAATTTATTCTTTGATCCCGACCCACTTTTACAGATATTTAACGTATAGAATAAAAACATCTCCTCAACAACCTTTTTGTTTTTGTTCCAAACTATATGAAGGAAAGTAGTTTTACGGGAACGGATTGACAGATTAACGTGAAACGTGTCTGGGGAGCGGCAAGGGTTGGGGGAAGGGGTGACGGAAGAGAATTTTGCGGTCATTTGAATGGGTTTGTGATTTTGGGCTTCGTGAGATCAGCGTTTTCTGGGGCAGTGACACTTAAATACACACCATCATCCTCAGTCCTAGGTGAGCAGATACTTGGCAAGGCGTAAGTAATACTGATGTAACAAAAGGAAATTTTTTATTAGTTCAAAGTATTGGCTCTATCATCCATTTGTTGATTGATGATGATGTTCTTTTAAGAAGGTGATCAGTTTCACACTGATGCGAATTAAAGAGCCTCGCTGGTTATCGATTTCCACTTCTTATCAGAGCAAGTAATAATCTTCTCAGTTTAAGAAATCCAAGACTTTCGATGACATTGTAGGATCCTCTTCTAAACTTCAGTCAATAAAGCCACATCATGTTGAGCAAATGGCTGTGCTAGGTAAATTTTAACTATTGTTGACTAACATTTAAGACAAGGTGGAGGCGTGGTAGCCTCATGGTCAGTGCGCTCGACTCCGGATCCAGTGGTCCGGGTTCGAGCCCCGGCCGGGACATTGTGTTGTGTTCTTAGGCAAGACACTTTACTGTCACAGTGCCTCTCTTCACCCAGGTGTTTAAATGAGTAACGGCAATTTAATGCTGGGGTAACCCTGCGATGGACTAGCATCCCATCCAGGGGGGGAGTAGAAATACTCCTAGTCGCTTCATGCTACAGAAACCGGAGTTAAGCACCGGCCTAATGGGCCACTAGGGTCGTAAACAGACTTTACTTTTACTTTTACATCTAAGACAAGATGCAATCGTACTGCAAACTTTCGGTGTCTGTACTTGTCTTTTCGTGTTCTGACGTATTTCATAGCTGTGACAGGTTAGAGCGTGCACTGAACACTTTTGAACTACTTTTGTTGTTTTAGGAAAGTATATCTACAATAACAGGAAAACAATAGTTGGGAGGCTGAAACTTATATTGGGCCTTGGCAGGTATTGTTTACTTTGTTCTTTTGTATTTCTTGCTCAGACAGGTTCAAAAGTGCGTTCAACTCTTTGAATGTTTGTTTCTTTAACAAAGTTTATCTAAGGAGAAAACAATTGTAGGGAAACTGATACTTACATTGAGCCTTTACATGTTTTGTTTACTTTGTTCTGTTTTATCTCTTGCTCAGAAAGGTTGAAAGGTGCTTTACACTCTTTTGGCTTTTTTTGTTTACTTTGCTCTGTTGTATTTATTGCTCAGACAGCTTAAAACGTGTATTGAACGCTTTGAACTTTTGGTACCTTGTTGAAAGAGCTGCTCTGGCGGAAAGCCTTTAAAGGTTTTCTGAGGAGTTTTTTTTAAATAAGTTTGCTTCGGAGTACTGAAAACTCTTGTGAAGGTCCTGCCTTTCCAGGTTGAGGTAATGTCCTCATCTCAGCGGGGTGCTAAAGCACTAGAATTACTCAGTGTTGAGACTTACATTCATAACTTTTGAGACGTTGTGATAACGATAGTTCACTTCTGTTTTGGATAAGAATAATATTTTACAAGGTAACATACCGCGCAAATGAGGGAAAGTCCTCTGTTTATTTGTTTTGGAAGCTAGGTTAACGTGATCGCATTAGTAAGATATAAAAGCCCTTAAAAAACCGCACTTGTTTCATTGACAGTTTTCGATTGAACCTGATCCTAGCTGTTGAAGTCAAAGAACCATCTCTCTCTTATCCAGAGTATGGTACCCTTCATAAAGAAAGCACAGCTTCTCATTCTTTGGGTCTGCTTGATGAAAAAAGGCGTCACCGAAGGTATTTTTAGCTTTCAATATTCTGTTATTTGTATTCAAACGATTCTTCACCAAAGGTCCTGAAACTTCTCAGACTCCCCGAAATGATTGCTTAGGGTTAGTAAACCAGTTAATGACTTTTGCGTTGTACAATTAGATCATGCTTTTTTATTGTTAAAAATAGTGCTTGATTTATCTTTTAGCCATCAGGATCTGTGTTACCTACTAGGATTACTAAGTTCTTGTGATAGTGAGTGAAATCTGCACCCCACCCCCAAATTTGAATTACATTAAATTGGCATCGCTAATACTGGGAAATTTCAGTCCGTTTATTGAGCTGAATCCTGGATTTACAACGAAAGACAATCAGTAAGCGTCAAAGGATTTAGATTCCGAAAGCAAAATGGTAACATCAGCCCTAGCCCTCACAATATGAACCCCTCACTCAAATTATACAATGCTACTAAAAAAAAAACAACAACAAGAAAAGGAAAAGAAGAATAATAAAATAAACGCTTTTCATATAGAGCAATTTCATAACTACTTCCTTCTTAACTATTTTTATTTGTCATCGGCTGCTTTGAAACATTCAAATGACCATGGAGTAAGCATAGAGATTGTCAATTCAAGAGGTCCCGCAACGGGTCACAAAGCCATCATTCCCCGCATACATTTGAAGTACTTTCTCTTTTTGACGTGCATGATTCACATATTTCATGGCATACTGACTTATTTAGATTATTGTGCAGTGCAGTTATCACTGCATTCGTAAAACGCTCAGGTTGTACTAATATTTCAGATAAAAAGCCACCCTCCTCATCGAGTTCAATACCCGATTTCAGTTTTTAGCAGTAACCATGAAGACACGAGTCACTTGCTTTTGTCATTATTGACTTGACTTTTGTAGGGTTTATTTTAATTTTTTTACAATTAACTCTTGTAACTAAGTTT